ACCATTGCATAAAATTAAACATTAACATTTTGCCAAGAGTTCCATACACCTTAACCAAAGCAGGTGAAACTGTATTACCAAAAAAAAAAAAAAAATTATGATATTTTAATATTTAAAATATTAATATAATTTAATAGTTATTATAAAAAATAAATATATTTTAATAATTGTTTCTCAGCTCCTTCAAACGGTGTCGTTTCAGTTTTTTTTTTTTTTTTTAATGAAACAAGAACCCATAGTCTTCTCTTTTCCTCTCTTTGCAATTTTAACGCAAGAGATGCAATGAATTAATGCTGATTTGATGCCCAATATGAAGAGTTTAATGTGCTGATAAGTAGTTGGTATAAAAAAAAATGTGACGTTAAATAAGTGTCGTAAAAAGTTTAATTTTATGTTTTAAAGTCACGACATAATTTTGTTTTATTATCAATTAGTTGGTATAAAAAAAAATGTGGTGATAAATAAGTGTAGTAAAAACTCTAACTTTATGTTTTAGAGTGACAACAGGATTTTGTTTTATTATCAAAAAGGAAAGAGATTTTAAAGTGACACTTAATAAAATCTTTTTTTTTTTAATACAGTAAATTGAGGGCTAAAATGCCTCTTGACATCATCCAAAAATTGATGTCAAGCTCGTCTAAAGTTATCCTTATTGTTAAAGCCAAAAAAAATCTACCCCTAGATGTGTACTTAAGTATCAGTTATAAGAATTATTTGTTTATATGTGAAAATGTTTTTAATTTGGATAGTGATACGTTTATCCTATCCATTATACATTTCGTTACACTCATTCATTATTTGTTACTTAATCTGTCTCTTTCCATTACTATCAGCCCAGCCTTCTTGCTATCTCTACTTTTGAGTTCTCCATTTGTTGATATGTTGCCTCCTCCTCCTTTCTTTTTCTTCTTCTTCCCCTCTCCTCCCCTCTTTTTCCTTCTCTTCCCCCCACGAGTTCTCATGGTGAAAACCATGAGAACCTATTCTGGGTTCTCGCCACGAGAACCTGTGGGTTCTCATGGAAAACCTAGTTCTGGGTTCTCCTTTAGAACCCATGGGACAGAAGAGAAAAAAAAAAGAAAGAAGGAAAGAGGAAGAAGGAGAACCTAGATGGAGGAGAGAGAAAAAAAGAGGAAGATGGAAAAAGGAGGAAGATAATAATGAATTTTTATAAATTTCAGACATATTTTATTTTGCTTTTTTTTTTTTTT